ACGACTCTGTCCAACTATTGAGCTGTAATGTATTCAATAGACCTGACTATTATAAAATACATTTGTAGTCTATGAGTCCACTGTTACATTTTAGTCAGGAGATAAAATGAATAAACTGTTATGTAATCGAGCGCTGCTGTGAAAAATCGTTTTTTTGTCTGTGGAGAATTAATCAAATGATAAAATATACGGCATTACAAGCATCTCAATAAATTTTTAATTTATCGCATAATATACCACATATTGCAAAACGTACTGAAAATTTATTTTAGCCTATTTATTTAGAATTTAATAGGGCCCCAAATTCTATACTAATCACTGTACAAGTACAAATTGTAATGAAGTATGGGTAATTTGTAGTGCCGTGAGGCGGTGGTTTAATTTCTATATAGTATTCCTTAACGTTTGTCTGTAAATATATATTTCATCACATTTTTTGAAATAGAACTAAAGTTAAGCGTATTGTTTTATTATTTATTTTTTAGTGCAAACATACTGATTTGTTTTTTTGGTCAGAACGCGCGCCATTTTGAAAATTGGCTATCACCCTTTTCAAAAGTTTTGCCAAATTATTAAAAATTAAACCTAACGACAAAATAAATAGACGTTCAAAACATGATTTTGTGGAACAAGTCAGGGCTTGAAATAGTATAATAATGCTGAGGTATTCAAGTTTGAAACGTTTCTTCCGGGTAACAATTATGATTACAAATTCCACGAAAAAGACCAAAGTCTCAGCACTCGTTGCAGCCAACTCCACCACTCGCAGACGCCAACGCAGCCACCTGAGAAACTACAAGACGGAACATCTACAGCTATAGAACATACGTAATCAAAGTTCTACGAACAAACAAGTAGGTATTACATAGAATATACATACATAGAAAGGCACGTTTTTTCTAGAGATTCATCAAATTTTATTGGCTGGAAAACTATGTCGTTTATCTTCCTTTTAATGTGCAACGCCATTTGTGTTACAAATTTAAGCATTTGTCGGGCACTTAGAGTCGCAGTCTATGGCACAATAAAGTTTCATTTTCGGTATATTTCACTTTTCCAACATAAACTAAACCGTATTCAAGTAAAATGTGAAATGATAAAGAGAATTCAGAGTACAACACACAACAACGAAATTGTTATACACAGTTAATATGAAAATTGAACTTTACTACGGCCATCGTGTGATAAATTTTAATGGCGATTATGGCATAATTGTGGTACTAGGTCCGTTCATCAAAGTTTTATTAGTTACTATGACGATGGTATAAAAATATAACATTTGGTTTCGTCATTAAAGTGTGTAATATTTACTGGGGCAAATGAAGACTTCTATCAAAAGTAAAAATACGCTAAAATTTGCCCTGTTTTAATTATGTTGCGCCCCGTGTGCCAAACTTATCGGGGAGACACAGGTCAACAAACTGTTTTATGAGAAAACTGTGCTATTATAAATGCAATAATGGCGGACATTTTGTCATGTTGCGAAGCATTTTTATTTTATTTCATTTCATTTCATTTCATTTCATTTTATTTTATTTTATTTTATTTTATTTTATTTTATTTTATTTTATTTTATTTTATTTTATTTTATTTTATTTTATTTTATTTTATTTTTAACTGTTCTAATATACATGACACAACCAAGTCTCTGCAATAACAACACTATTAGCATGTTACATTAATCAATTCAGTATAATATAATATAATAACTTTTATGTCATGTAAATTGAGATGATGCAGGCACCGAGCCATATTCAATATTATAAAAGTAATATAAAAGATATATATTACAAATAATTTGTTTCCCAACTGTCTCAAAGAAAACTTAAACTGTAATTAACACAACTCGTTAGCAAGAAGGCATTATATATAACAGTATTCGCTTTGAATTGTTTTGTCTGAAATTTCAGTTTGATTTATCAATTTCACCAAATACTTTATTGTTGCAAAATACACAAATTATACGATTGTGTTCTTTTTAACGCGATATATGTAGCAAGGCTACATGTAACAGCGTAGATAGGTATATTAATGTAATACATCTACCATACTCTACAGTAAAGGCCATAAACCTGTTCCCTTGTGTATAATAAACGTACTTATAAAAATGTGTAAAAAATCAAGAAATTGTCTACGCGAATAATGCACGCACTTGTGAAATAGCAAGTGCGACCGCCCACTTATTCAAAATGAGGCGCTTGCTGATTGGATAATTTTGAACTAACTCATTAATTATTAATTTGAACTAACGGTGATGTTACAATACAATTTCTGGGTTGGTCACCCATTTTGATCTCTAAAACATTCATAACGTCCCCAGCTTCATGTTTTTCACTGTAGTTCATATCTATCATAAAGTATAATTACAGTCCGTGTATACCGGATACCGGATACACGTCTCATTTAAATACAATAACCAAAATAAGTCAGCCATGAATTACCACAGCTTGACCTGTTATATTGTAGAGGTCAGACGTTATCTATCATTCAGGTATTTATTGGCATCTCAATAAATCACCATCCCATCAAAATGTTATTTACCGTGTTTAAGTACCACAAATCTCTTATTGAAAACACTTCATTTCTTTGGTGATCCTGAAAAAATGCTAGTTAAAAAATCAGCACGGTAGGATCTACGAAAAATATTCTAGATAGAGGAAAGAAGATATGGATCAACTATATATTCATTCACCTGTCACAATGAGCTGAGAAAAATAATGAAAACTCGTTCACTTTAAAACCTTTGTATTGCCTGTGGATATTTTTCAGGACGTTTTGAAGAATGGCTGATGAAGAGATCAATAAATGTCGTGAAACTTTATTTGACATGTTCAAAGATTTGGACATTAACGAACTGGAAACATTCTGTATGTTGTTGCGTGGTATCAAGGAGAATATAGGAAAAGGTGAACTTGAGGGCATTACTAGAATCAGACTGGCTAATATTTTGGTAGAGAAAATCACTCCTGTCAAGACATGCAAGGAGAGAGTTGCAGACTTACTTGGGAGAAGTGGACGAAGAGATCTCCTAGAAAGATATAAAGACTTCTTTGGTAATCCAGAGGTAAAGTCAGAGGTAAATATGGATAGAAGCATATCTTTGCTAATATTGCTATTCTATACCCCATTCTGCAGACCAAATTCGATTATGGTTTATCATAATGGTTGGATGTACGTTTCAAAATAATGCGTATCAGACAATTTAATTGTTTCATTGTTGAATACTTAGATCAGTTTATGATAAATCATATTTTAATAACAAAATCTATTTGTCAATATACATTATCAAACAACAATACTGACAATTACGTGTCTCGTCCACATTGCAAACATTTAAATGATTTGATAAAGATTTGCTAACATCAATGTGTTGGAGCAGTTATTGGCGAAAGTAAGGCCGCCTTCATATTTATAATCATTTATTCAATTGTTTTCGCATATCATATATTCATGTTTATATTTAAATACTCATTATCGTTAATTTCCGTTATCACATAAGACCTACACGTTTTCCGCCTCCTGGTGAATAATACAAATTTACAGAGATGTTCTGCTCCTCCACATTTTAGAATGGTCAACTCTGTTAATATCAAGGGGGAAAACGACCAGAAAACCCACTTGCATTGGACACAGTTGACACTGTCAATATATTTACAAAACACTGTATTATTTTCGCTAGGTGGCAACACAAGGGACGGGTGGAAATACTAGTAATTATAATGTCCGTAAAATGTTGATCGATATGCTCGACGACCTAGAAGACCGGGACACGAAAAGATTGAAGACGCTGCTCGGGGAGCATGGCGTTAAAAAGAAAAATCTACAGAACGTTGACAGTGATGACCTTGCTGAACGAATGCTTGCGACATTCAAGACAGAATCGGAATGTGTAATGAAATTCAAGCGCATATTACAGGAAATCCCAAGAAACGACATTGTTGGAAGAAACAAAGATTTTTTTGCTGATTTCGAATGAGTCATTAATAAACAAGACACCCAAGAGTGTCCCATTTAATAACGGCGTAAACAAATTACTAGTAGCATAAAATAACCATATTTGTTTCAATGCAATGTTCCCTGGTTTGCCACGTTACTGTGTGCTACAGAAGGGGTCGGTTTTAAAATCTTCCATTTGCTAACTTTAACAAGCTATGTTGTAACTCTGATACCGTATAAAAAGTACGCACGGACACCAATTAGAAACGGAAACCATGTTGAGGAGTAATTTGTAAAATTAAAACATTTGTAACGTGTCCACAATGTCCACAATAAAAAATTCATATGTTCAGTACAAAACTAAAGCTGCTAGATATAAAATAAATAAAACTGCATATTGAACGACCTCCCTCTAAAGCACATAGTAGCTACGCAACCAGAGAATCCGACCACTCCGTACAGATGTAAAAAAAATGTTACGTTTAAATGCTTGATAGTTCCCATAGTAACACAGCAATTAAGCAATATTTCTTTTTAACCTATTCTAAAACATATTAATAAATAAATAAATCCCGTTCAACCCAAAAGAGTAAGATAGAGTAAAAAGTGATTACTGTAGGTTATTTCGTGTTTTTTTCATTTCTTGGTCGTGATAAATATACTGCAATTTGGGCATATAAACACTTATTCTAGTCATATTTGTTGTAACGATTATATTCATGCTCATGGTCTTAGTGTGTCTCTAAATATGCATTTTGTGTTCCTTGATTACAGTATTACAGAGAAATGTTATTTGTTTAATGATTGTTTCTAATCATTGTGATTTTTAACCCAATAACCTCAGGGTTATTCTTACTGATTACATATAAAGAGGTACCATGGTTACAACATGAAGGTACCATGGTTACAACAATGTACTCATCTATTCAATTGTGAATAAAACAAATAATTCTCCAATTATGTCAAGTGCAATTTAGTCATTTTTCAGAATTCTTATTATGCAGGAAATGAATAAAAAATACACATATATACCTTTATTTACATATATCTGTATATATGTCATACATATTTAAGTATACCGGGGACTATGTTTAACTATACAGGAGAGGAGCATTAAATTAGTATCGAATGAACTTTCATCCTTCATTAACAAGTTGTACATATCAATTACAACCATTAGGGGTCAACCGTTTGGGATCATGGATGGATGGGAGAGTGTGCAATTTTTTTCGTGGTGTTTTACTGTGCATTTTTATTTTTCTGACATTTGCCTGCATCATTTTAATTTTAATTTCAAGTCTTTATTCTTTCAAATGGTTGACGCCTAAGTGAAAATACGTTCTTGATTTACATGAAATTCGAACACGCGCTGCGCGACGACCACCGCGCTTTAATGATTACCGAATCCCAAGCGCACGGATTCGTATTTTATACGAATGGTATTTGAATATACACACAGTGTATATTTTTGCGGACCATTTGGTATCCGGGGGGCAGGAAGCTTGAAATGAAGACTACTTTTTTTCCCCTATCTGATATGGATTTTTTTTCAGCAGACCTTGTCTTTAATTTTTACATGCATATAGATTGTTTTTTCACAAAATCTTCCTTGCCCGCAGGATATCAAATGGTTCGCCCCTTAGTTATAATGTACGTATATTTCAGGATTTTTTTTTATTTTGTCTCAATATATGATAAATTCAGATCAAAATTGTTTGGATTTAAAAGTGTTTACTCATAATAGACATATATTTACACAAACCACATCTTCTCTATACTATTATCAACAGTTTAGGCTGTGTCCGGATTTCAAAAATCTCAATAATTTCAAAATTATAAGAAAAACCTTACTAAAATATACACATTAGATGATAGCCTATATTACAGCAAAGGAGAATTCTGGCTCAAAACTTTCTTTTTCTTCAAATTTCTACAGCCCCAGTTTTCAAATTGGATATCCCTAAATTAGTTTCCACTTCTCAACGCCTGTTCGTGAACTTTGACCCACAAGCGAGCGACAAGGCGGCCAGATTGGGTTCTTCACTTATTGCAGTTGTTGTGAGTATCTAAACAATCAACTGTAATAACCAGAATATGTCGAAGAACAGCAGCAAGATCAGTTTCAAACCAATCTAATATTGTAATCAAGACTGAACGTTTCAGATGTAAGTACACATGTCACTGTGCCCGAAACTGTGTACCATATTACACGATATTGCTATACTAACGCCGAGTACTTGTATGTTTGCTACGTCGAAGCTCTGTATTCATACAATGAATATAGACACTAATTTGGTTGATTCACAGTCCCCTGGCTTCATTCCATCATGAGCATTACATGCCGATGTGGCTTGATGTGGTTTGGGAGAATCCGTTCTGATCCAAGTCATTTTATCGGGGGGATACATGTAGGATAATATATTCATATACCGGACTAAATTTTATGTGTGAACACGAACCTAAATATTTAAGCTGGCCGAAATAAGTCATGTCCGAGAAATCGGGGGGGGGGGCTTGGGCTGGCTCACTGGCCTGTCAGTTTGGTAGTGCTGTGTAGCCGGGAAGTAAAACCCCAGACCCCATCGTAGACCATTTTCACCTCCAAAACCATACCCCATTATAGACCAAATAGTGATTTTATGTATCCCATCAAGACCAAATTGTCACTGAATTTATTCAGTTATAGGTTGAATCTCTTAAATCACACGGATTCATCAATAAAAGTACTAAACCTTGGATAAATACATGGAAATTAAAAAACACAGACCCTACCCTCGGCCCCATCCTAGACAGCAAAACCTGATATTGGACCTAAAGGCAAGCAAATCTATATACCGCATTCTAGACCATACAGGTAAAAATTTCGACCCCAAAAGGCGACACATCCCCATAATATGATTTGCATTAAGTGACCCCCAGGCCTAACTAGTGTATGAAAAATCATTATATGATGTAATTATACTCTTCCTGCCATCCATCATTCAAATTAGTTTGGAAAACTGAACGATTTAATACATATTAATAATAATGAATTTATTGCATTTTTAGAAATAGTTTCTATTACCGTGGCTGACAGCAATAAAATGTTAGTAATAAAGTACAATAAGATTGATTAGGTTCTGGTTGAAATCCATGCATATTAATTACCTGATTTGCATGATAATTAGCTAATTTTTACCTGTTCCTTGACTGTTCCACTGATATCTGAAGAGCCATTCATTAGATTTTGATGAAACTTGGTACATCAATGCTATGGACTAATGCACAGATGTGATTAGTTTTGGGTAAAAATTCATGCATATAATTAATCTAATTTGCATAATGATTAGTCAATTTTCAGCTTTTCCACTGATTTCTCAGGTAGTAATCATCACATTTCAATAAAACTTACATAGAAACATAGGACGATGCACAGATATGTGAAATATTAATAACCTAATTTGTATAATTAATCAATTTTTAGCTTTTGATATTTCAAGTACTATTATATGATTACTTTTCAATGAAACTTGGTACATAGATGCTCTAGAACAATCAACGACAACGACCTGATTAATTTTAAGTAAAAATCAACTATTAAATCAAGTATTAATCAACTAATTTGCATAATTAGTTAGTTTTTGGCTTTTACACTGATATCGTAAGTACTAATTATCCCATTTCAATGAAACCTGGCACATTGATGTTCCAGAACAATGCACAGACCCGCTCAGTTTTGGATTAAAATTGTATCATATAAATTTTTGGTTCTAATCACATTTTGATGAAACTTCTTACATACAGATGGTCTGTGACAGTACTTATCCTAATTCAGTGAATCTTGGTACATATGTACTCTGTTTTTCAGTTTATCTTACAAAAATTGCTAATTATCACTTTTTAAGAAAAAAATCGTGCTGTTTTTTTGCTGAAATCACTTTTAACAAATAGTACTTTGACATCGATATTTCACTTGCACAATGCATTGCTATAATGCCTTTGGATTGGTAGAATTGCGTTGATACACTGCATTCTGATTGGTTAATAAAAGACACAACCCCCATTAGGTCAAAGGGCATTGTTGCGGGTCAAATCATGCAAGGAAACATCCTGACAGAAATTGCTTTCCTTTGAGATTTTGAGTATAATCAAAAGTATTCAATAAAGATAAATGCTCATTTTCCCACAGACCCTAATAATTTCACACCTTAAAATCTGATGTTACATAACTAATATTGTAATAAATGACAATGCAACTTATTTTGCAATTTTAATTACACAAACAATGACATACTTTTCCAACTAATCAGACAAATGGTGGTGAACAAAAATTGTCTTTTGTCAATTTTTTATGGGAGGTGCTTACTAAGCGCCCACCCCACGAAAAATACAACTTTGTATTTTGCAGGCCATTTTTTCAAATTAAATATTTGTGTAATTTACTATGGGCAGAACAGAGGACAGCTTTTAGTGCATGCCATGATAGATTTGAGTACTGTATAACATTTTGACACTACGGTAAAATCGGTAATGAAAAATTGTCAGGTGTTGTGACATAAAAATGAAAGCATATTATTGCAAACTTAAAAAAACATAAAGCCTGTATTAACTTTAAACTGTGTTTTATTATTCTCTCAATTTTGTTTTGTGTGCATTATCAAAGGTTGGGCAATACCTGGGTTCATGTTGCTGGCAACACGCCAGTCACTGCACCAGTCATAAAAAAGGGTCAAAACAGGCGATATCACACTAAGTTTAATAGTGTATACCTGCAACGCACACATTATATTATCTCACATAGAACCAATAACTCATCCTTTTATGACAATGTCTGTCATTCATTATTATATTAGGCCTTATAGTACAAATAAAAGACCTATGTACATTAACAAAATTATTATATTAAATTTTTCTGAATCTTTTATCACTGCTTATTTAGAAAAAACAAATTATGAGACTTACCCTCCAATAAAATTAACACGTCATTCATTTTTATTTCTCCTCTTTGGGCGTAAAAATAAAAATTTCTATGTTTTGGGATCAATGAATTTATTTTGTTCCAAAATCATACAATTTTAGTAGCGAGATTGTGTAGACAGTGTAATGGGCTTTGGACCCAGATCATAGTCTAGTCTGCTGATTTACAGCCAAGGCAAAATAAAAGAAATGTTGTTGTTGAGTATATTTTTACTTAATATACAGTTTAATTTTTTCTTCCGTATTAGGAAGATATCAGTGTCAAAATCATGTTTTGCAAAGTTTTGAATTTCTGTTAAATCTTCTTTAAAGTCTGGCAGAATTTTGTGAGTTTTTCTCAAATATGGCCACAACAATATATCCCTGGTCATAAGCCCAGGGGCCTCAATATGTACAACTGGTGAAGGTAAAAGGTTGTGTGTATACTCAAGGACCACATTTTGCTCTAACAAAAATATATTCGTTTAGCACATGTCGGATTAGGGAGAATATTATGTCTTTCAAGGAAAATTAAATTGCAAAATGAGATGTGTGGTTATTGATTTTCACTTTACGATGTACAAAAATGTTCACAAAAAATATGCACATTTTATTACAATATTATTTACATACCATTCGAATTTACGGTGTAAAAATTATTAGGGTATGTGAAAAAATGACAAGGACACACTTTATTATTCATTATTTTTGTTGTGGAATACTTTTGATTGTATGCAACACAATTTCTGCCATGGTGTCTTTGGTGTTTCAGCAGCTACCGGCTTCCAATAAAAAAAATGTGGATTACTTCAGTATTACAACATTGGATTCATCATGAGTAATAACAGAACAGAAAGACTGTGAAATTTATGCGAAACACAAACCAAACACACTTCAAAAAGAGAGCTACTGTACCAATTATTATATTCTATTCTATCATTCTATTATATTATTTGAGTTCATATTACAGTGTTTGTATCCCCCATTTATTTTTGACTCAAGCACACAATAGGTGTCATTGCAGTTAGCCTGTCTGTATGTATGTTTATGTGTGTGTGTATGTGTCCGTCTGCTCCACTGATATCTGAAGAATCACTGATTGGATTTTGATGAAACTTAGTACATAGATGCTCTGAACTAATGTGCAGATTTGATTACTTTTGGGTAAAAACCATGAATATTAATCACCTAATTTGCATAATGATTATTCAATTTCTGGCTTTTCTCAAGTACTAATTATCACATTTCAATGAAACTTGCTTCATAGATGTCATAGGACAAGCACAGACCTGAGCTAATATTCGGGCATATTAGTCACCTAATCAAATACTAATCATCACATTTCAATGAATCGAAGACTATGTAAAGACCCAATTAGCTTTCGGTAAATATTTATGAATACTGATCACCTAATTTGCATAATTAACCAATTTTAAACTTTCACACTGATATCTCAAGTGCTAATCATCACATTTCAATGAAACTTGGTACACAGATGCTCAAGGAGAATAGACAGACCTAATTATTTTTGGTTAAAATCTAATTTGCATAATTAAACCAAATTTAAGCTTTCAAAAATCTAAAGTACCAATTATTTCATTTCAATAAAACTTGGTACATAGATGCTCTTGGACAATGTAAAAACATGATTAGTTTTGGGTTAAAACCTGTTCATATTTTTCCCTAATTAGCATAATAATTCATGATATTATGGTTCTAATCACATTTCAGTTAAATTGGTACATAGATGGTCTGTTGAATTGCACAGATATTATAATTATTTTTACACTCAAATCTGTTCATATTAACTGATCTGCACAATTAGTTTTCAACTTTTTCGTCAACATTTCAAGTACAAGTAATTTTGAATCAATTATTTAAAGGGCGGTAGTGGCGGTTCGATATTGGACTCATAGCAATGTATACAACGCGTGTAAAATACATTGTTTATTTACATGAAATTCGAACACGCGCTGCGCAATGACTACCGCGTTTAATGTGTCTCCAATACTCTCAGCACAAAGGAGTTCTTTCTTAGCTTTCTTTGATAGCCTATTTGCTGTATAATAACAATTTTAATTAGTTAATTTGTTTATAAATTAACCATTTCCTCCATGTTTTGCTTTTCTTAATAACTATTTTCTCAAATGTTTGTGTATTTAAATGACTGATGCAGTTTATATAATTATTGAATTATCATAATTTATAATGGTCTGCCATTTAATTAGATACAACATAAATGTACTAATATATTGCTGGGTGTGTCCCTATTTTAGTTTTAAATTGATCAAATAGTTAGCAATTAATTAACACATTCAGTTCATGTCTGGCAAACTCCTGGAGTACACACCACTAACCATATCTGACCAACTACCTATAAGCTACGCAAATCACCTTTTAAGTCTTGTAGAATCAAAAACCAATCAGAACTAACATACTAGTTTTAGTGAGGTACGTGCTCACTGGCTGGTTTACAAATCCTGTATTAGTTGTATTTTAATTATTCATTCTATGTGTACATGTATAGGAAACATATTTTGTCAGTGTACACTGTTTATAGAGCATATTTTTGTAGTCAGGGCTTTTGCACGACTGCAGTTCAGTAGAACCTGGCCAGAAGATGCATAAAACTTGCTTGCTTTTATGGAACATTTGTATTTGCTCCTACATTCCAGATTTGAGTCGTCTGTACTCTACCATTGAACATAATGATAAGTGTCACAAGCACTGTCAGTGAAGAGTTCTGAAGAGCTTTTGAGGTTTTGAAGAATTCTAATCATTTTTCCGTCATTCTAGACAAACTGAACTATATGAGGGAAAACAATGTTTGAACTGATTTACAACTAAGTAATGGGGAGCAAGAAGTTTCCTGTCATCGAGTTGTATTCACTGCTGTCAGTGAATTTGCTAAGCGAACTTTATACATGGATGAGGCCAACTCAAATGCAGGTACATTCCAAATTGACAATATGGCTATTAAATCATTAGAACAATTTGTAGAGTATGTATATACTGGTCGATAAAAGTAAATGATGAAAATGCCAATAATTTGGTAAACATTGCTGAAATGTTTGAGGTGGAAACTCTGCGTGTTGTATGTATGACTTTCATGAAGAGATCCAGAAAAGTACCTGCAAATGCAGCAAACTCAGAAAATACTTCACAGAAGGTTTCATCTCCACAGAAATGTACTGTGGAAGTATTGAAGAAGGCAGGTGGAGTTGATGCGATTCAGCCATTGGCAATGAAGGAATTGCTGTAACCAAACTGTCTAGTCCTACTGAGACAAGAAACACAGAATCTGAGTCTAAGTGTTCAACTGCAAAGGAAGTTAACATAAATAAGGATTCTGATGACAGTGAAGTTAAAGATGGAAAACCATATGGTGATGATAGTCAAGATTGTGATTGGTCTCCTCAAACAGTAAAACGACAAAAAAACTTTAATAGTAAAAGTTTTTCTCCTGACTGTCTGAAAAAGCACATGTCTTTTGAGAATACATACTAATGAGAAACCATTCACATGTAATGTATGTGGAGACCAATTTACTGTTGGTTCAAACCTTTATAGACACTGTCACAGTAAGCATGGTAAAGCAACCCCTGAAATGGTTGGTAGAAGTATGATAACATCTGATGAGAAAGAAATTGATAATGATTCAATTAGAAGTTTGTCTGTACAAACTGTTGCATTGGAGGTAATTCAAAATACCGCACAGAAAATAGTGTCTGCAAAACTGACTTCTAAGAAAAACGGAAAGGATTCCCAGGAAATTGTAAAGTCACAAAAAGAAACATTTTCTGAGGCTTTGAATCAATACAGTGCTGTTGTTAATCATTTAAATGATCATGGTGATGTATCTTTAAATAGGAATGACATTGACTCACCCGAGAAGTCAAAAATGAGACACACATTTTGATGTAAAGATAAATACAACTACATGTACACTCACAGAAGAACAAAACAGAATAATAATTAAAAACACTGTATAGTGGTACTGGCCTAAAACGGCACTCTTGTAACCTATTTGGGCAGTTATTCGGTACAAGTTCAAACCTCTATAGGCACTGACAGACAAAACATGGGGAAGTGAAACCTGAAATGATCAGCAAACCACCAAGGAAGCCAAAAAAAATGTGTGAAAGACAAAAAGAAGATTCATTGGAATACAGTAATGATGAACTAATGTCAGAATCAAGCAATGATTGTGAGGAAGAAAGTGATTCAGAGTTCAGTGATATGTTCAGTTGCCCATTGTGTGAAGAAACTTGTGCTGACCTGAGTAAACTGAAAGGTTATTTAAAAGAAGAGCATTCAAGTGACAGGAATTATTAAAATAGTACCACAGTCACAGATAAGGAGGCAGGAACTAGTTCAGCTGCCCTGGATGATGAAAATAGTACAAGTGTGAATGCTATGCTTGCTAGTAATCTTCTGAACTAGATGAGAAAGAGTTGGATCATTTGAATGATGTTGCAAATAATGGAGTCAATGAGTTCCACTGTCCATTTTGCAAGTGTCCATGCAACAATTTACTGGACTTTAAATTAAATGTAAGAAAATTACATAGAAGTAAACAAAACTCTACTAGGGCGTTTGACTAATGTAATGTTTCGAAAGAAACCTTTGATAGCATTCATACATTGAAACAACACATGATGTCCAACAGAAACGACACAAATTTTGTTTGCAAGGTTTGTGATGAAAAGCTTGTTTCAAATGTTGCTCTATATTTTCACTGTCGGCGTAAGCATCCAAAGAAGACACACTGTGCAAATAGATTGCACAAACATGCTAAATTGCCATTATGTAAAATTCCTTGTACGACACGAGCGTATCTCAATAAACATGTA